CCTTCAAGCTTTTAAGACCCCAGACGCTATATCTTTTGATAGCCGGACACCATCAGCTTTCTTCACCACATTTGCTTGTTCACCCGCTTTGTCTTCAGCGGTTGTGTCGGGAAGGTGAGCATCATAGAATGCCAATTTAATAGAAGAAAGTATTCTTGTGTGGCATCAACAATTTCTAAACATGATCTTTCTTCTTGAGCCCTTTGATATCAGCTCCTCTTTTTTTCTCCCTTCCCCCTCCCGCCACCCCCAAGGAACCCTTAATAGAGCAGGTATTGTTATGATTATTTATGCCTGTCGTACAGCAACCACTCCATCCCTTCACCTACTGCCTGGTGTCCATCCCCCTCAATGATTGTGGTCGCATTCTTGAAGCAGTGTTTATCTGTTTATTTTGAGGTTCTTTTTCTGTCATTTTCAGTTCCTAAACATTTTAAGTGCCTATTGTTCTTTCATAGTTCATTTTAAAGACAATGGACGATGATTTTGTCTCAGCTCTAAATTGATCATATTCAGTTTGTGGAGAACGTCATGGCATATTAAGAATTTCATTAGTAGTGGAATTTAATAAGTAGATTACACCTGTGGGTCTCAGCCTTGGTTGGCAATGGTCAAAGATGAAACAAAGCTAAATCCCTAGGATTTATCTGAAATTAAACACTTTGAAAAGAGAATATACTCACACAAGTTTCCCCCAAACTTCTTATTTCTTTATTTGCTTAAGTGTTTGATTCTGGAATTCGGAGTTAGAATGTGGACTTAAGATAAGCAGTACCAGAAACCCGGAGGCCTCAGCGGTAGCCTCATCGTGCATCCATTCACTTTCCAGCCACTGCCTGCCACGCAGCGTGTGCTCTCCCAGTTGTGTGGAGCGAACACCCGAGAGAAGCAAAGCTGTAGATCGGCTAATAAAACTGGTCACTGTCCTCCTACGCTGAGGGCGTCCAATGAGTGGCAGCTGGAGATGGTCATATCTGTGCTGTTTTTCTGCTCCTTTTTCTTGTTTGCTGACATCTGAGTCTAGCAGGAATGTGTCTGCCTTTGTGAATGAGCAGTATTGAAAATGTTGCCCTATTTCTAATCCTCATTGTTTGGGTAAATAGTGTCCAATCACTTTAGGTTCCGACATGTACAGGTCAACAATCCATGTATTTTGGTCCAAAAACTGTCCTATGTATATATACCTTCCCTTTCTAAATAGTATTTAAAATTCTATAACATTGGCTAAATGAATGATACTATCGATATATTACTCTATGCCCCATGGGGTGATTTATGTTCCCCAATGTACATAAAGTGGACGAGGGTCATAGATAAGCCATGACACATGAATGGATTTTGAGCTCACACTTCATCAGAGCCCCAATCTGTGAGTAATTTGTTCTGACGGCATGGCTTATGGGTACTGGACACCCGCCCGCACGCAGAGAGGTCATTGAAGATGTGGGTGCCACAGCCAAGTGTGGAGAAATCAGATAGTGCCTGGCTGTTAGAAGGAATCACATCTGGGCTCTTAAAGGCTTGTCTTAAAATACGCAGTCATCTAAGTGGGATGCCAGCTCAAGTCCATGTGGAAGAAGCTCACCAAACTGCGTAATCCACCAAGGATCACATTGTCTTTTGAATTTACATTATGCCAATTGAGACTGTGGTCCTGAGTGCCCAGACTCTCACACCTGTTTTTCAATCCTCATGAAACCGTGTATATTTATTATTTTTACTGCTTTGTTTTCCAAATGTCTAGACACATATCAGTATTAGCTGAAACGATAAAGAAAGGAATTCATGATGCCGATTCTGAAGCAAGGATAGAAGCCAGAAAGTAAGTTTTTATCCTATCCCTCTCCCTTTGTAAACTTTCAGTTTTATGTGTCTACTATCTAGATTGCTTCCTTAGGTGTTTTTCTTGCTACTCACAATTTCGTGAAAAGCCAAATCAGAATCCAAAGCCCTTAAAGTAGTCCTTGGTGTGAATCATAGTATGTAGAGATGGATTATAAGAGCCTTGGTTGCGTAGGCGGTTACACTTAGGACCTTGCTCACTGCAAGGTCAACTGTTCAAAACGACTAGCCACTGCTCAGGAGAGAGGTGAGGCTTTCTTATCTTGTAAAGAGTGTGTCTTGGAGACCCACAGGGGCATTACTCCTCTGCCCTATAGCGTCACTGTGAGTCAGATCTAGTTCGATGGTAGAGTTTGGTTTAGCGTTTTGAGAGTAGATTGACCTGATGCACAATGGTAACATAATGATAGCTTACTGCTTTCATCTCAGTTTGCTGTGCGTTTTCCATTAGGACTGGTTATAATTCTGCCATGTGGCTATTATGATCGGCATAAATTTGCCATTGTGATTATATATATTAACTGTTAGATTCTAAACTAAGATGTACGAGGGGGTACCCTCCCTACTCCACCCCCCAAAAAAGAGAAAAGCTCCGCTGGGCAGAGCTTTTGTAGGACACATTTTTCCCGTTAGGTGACCATCAAACAACTCTCTCTGAGCCAGTGCACCCAGTGGCGTTACCTGGGAAGGGTCTCTTTGGTCACAGTGAAATTTTTGGTAAAAGCAGTTTCATTTGAAACTCGTTTTTTGTGATGGTTGATTTAAGAGAGCAGGTGCGGCTGTGAACTTTTGTTTCCTGCTTGGGAAAAGTGCTGCAGAAACTGTTGTGATGTTGAACACAGCTTACAAGGACAGCGCTATGGGAAAAACTCCAGTGTACACGTGGTTTTCTCATTTCAAGAAAGGAGAAATGTCGATTGATGACAAGCCTCATTCTGCATGTCTGTCAACTTCCCGTATGGAAGAAAATGTCAGCAAAATGTGTGTACCTTGTGACCAAAAACCGACAACAGACCCTTGAAGAGATGGAGAAGTTAGCTGGACTATCTTGAAGCTGAGTGCAGTGCATCATAATGGAAGTGTTGGGAATGAGCAGGGTCACTGCGAAATTTGTGCAGTGGGTTCTCACTGACCAGCAGAGAGAGCATCAATTGAAAACAAGCCATGCTTTGAAGGAACAGCTCCCAAGTGCCCCAGACTTTTTTCCAAGGTCATTACCGGTGATGAGACATGGTGCTATTCTTACGGCCCCCAAAGCAACCATCATTCAAGCCAGTGGAAGATGACATCATCATGTCCCTCCCCTCCCAAAGATCATCAGGTGAAATCAAGGATCAAGAAGCGGCTCATTTGTTTTGTTTTCTTTTTGTATGAGAGGAATGGTGCATTTGGAGTTCATTGTACCAGGTCAGACTGTAACCAAGCTTTCTATTTAGAGGTTCTGAAAAGAGTGCGTAAAAGACAAAAAAGGCCTGGTGTGTGGCAGATGCAGGACTGGTTTTACCATCAGGACAATTCACCCGCTCATGCAGCCATCTCAGTGTGCCAGTTTTGGCCCAAACACCATTCCTCTTTTGCCCTACTCTTCCTGACTCACCTCACCTCGCTCTGGGTGCCTTCCTTTTGTTTCCTTGAATGAAGAGGGACATGAAAGGACAACAATGGAGAAAAGGTGAAGTAAAAAACCAAGGGAGTTGCTGTCAGCCATCCAAACAGATGAGTTTGAAAAATGTTTCCAAGAATAGAATCACAGATTTGACAAATATATCAAGTGTAATGGAAAGTACTTTGAAGGTGATAAGGTTGTTTTGTAAAAAAATTTAAATACATAGTTGGGGGTGTGGAGAATTTTAGGGTTTTTTGGGGTGCCTTCTTGTGTACTTTCTTGGGATGGTCATAGATGCATGCTGGCAATTTTCCATCCATGACTGCCGTTCCTGTTCTTCCGAAACCAGTTCTTGTAATGAACGTGGGATAAAATCCAGCTTTACTTACATTGTACAGTATAACTTTATTTGACTGTTTAATACTTGTCACCCTTGACTACCCTGACAGTTAAGTTATATCTTCCTTGTTTCTGATTTCTGTGGAAGACCTCACTAAACCCCAAAGGACGTATCACCCTCTCATTTCAAGCAGTTCCTACTGAATTAGTGACTACTGAAAAATGATAAGAATGGATTTGCTATTTTTAATCCTTGTATTGTCTTTCCCCTCCCCCCAATTTTCCTAGTTCTTTAATTATAATAAAGAGTTTATGCAGTTGTGAACATCTTTCTACGTAAATACTCAATTAATGAATATCAAAGTGCATTTATAAAAACTACTGTTCCTTTTGTTTTGTCTACACACAGTGGGAGCTGTTTTAGCTCTCACCTGTCATGCTCCTCAGTCTTATAAGCCAGGAGCTTTAATTCCTGTTTTGTACATGAGAATGAGATTCAGAGAAGCTAAGTAACTTGCCCAATGCCCAAAAAACCCCAAACAGCAGCAACAGCAACAAGCCAGTGAGCGGTGAGGCCTGGTCTTTTTGTCTCTGTGCTCTCTGTGTGTGAGTGTGCTCCTGCTCCTGCTGTCTGGACAGGACCGGGGAGATGTGCTTCTCGTCTTAGGAGAGCTGTAGGGTACATGCCTGTTCTAACAGGAGTTTGTGTCCTCTCACAGATGTTACTGGGGCTTCCACAGTCACTTCAGCAAAGAAGCTGAGCACTTGTACCAAAACTTGGAATCCTCCTACCAGAAAGCCCTGCAGTCCCATTTGAAGAATTCGGACAGCATCGTGTCACTGCCCCAGTCAGATCGTTCATCTTCCAGCTCTCAGGAGAGCCTGAAGTAAGAATTAAGTTTTGCCGTGTATTAGTGAGAAGTATCATATTAAAAACAAATTCTAAGTGTGCTTTTAAATATGTGGAACTGTTAGTAAGTCCCCAGAAACCTGCATGTAGGTCTGAAACTGGGTTAAGAAGTGGCACTGAGTGGGAAGAGCTACAAGGTCTCGGTCCCTCCTGATTAGTTTTCAGTGACATTTACACGGCGGTCCTTGGCACATAGTTTTAGAGTAGTGCACATTAATTCTAAAGGAGGACAAACAATATAAGGAACCCTGATGGTGTGATAGGATAAGCATAGGGCTATGAACTGTGGTTTTGTCTGTTGAAACCCACCAGCTACTCCAGGGGAGACAGACAGACTATTCCCCTCAAGATTTTTTTTTTAATCGTTTTTTTTTTAGGGGCTCATACAACTCTTATCACAATCCATACGAACATCAGTTGTGTAAAGCACATTTGTACGTTCATTGTCCTCATCATTCTCAAAACATTAGCTTTCCACTTAAGCCCCTGGCATCAGCTCCTCATTTTTCCCCCTCCCTCCCCGCTTTCCCCTCCCTCATGAACCCTTGATAATTTATAAATTATAAGAGCCTTATAAGAAATGGTTAGAATTAACCTGGAGATAAGTTTAGAATGGAATGGCATTAAAAACCTTGGACGTAGTCTAATATTAGAGCGCCAGGGAGGTCCAGTTAACCATTTGACAGCTGTTCGATAGGGTGATGGTTTTGAGTCTACTCAGAGGTACCTAGTAAGAAAACCTGGGCAATGTCCCTGTGTTTGCAATCCCTGTGGAGCACAGTCTTACTCCGACACACTTGGACTCACAGTCAACTCTCTTAACAGCAAGTCTGTATGTATTTATTTTTAATTTTTAGTGTTTACCACCTCTCTTTATCTCTAACAGCTGTCTATTGTTTTGAATTCTCTGTGCCTGAAAGGCAACCCAAAAAGATAATGTTAAAGCCTTGCTTAATGTGGAGAGCTTGGTTAAGCCTGTCATGGAGATCCTCTTTAAAAATCATAAAATTACCATAACTTCCTGTTGTGGTTTGTAGTTGTATTAAAGCAGCTGGTCTACAATTGATAGTAAATGTTGTATACCTTCATCTCTAGCCGGCCCCTCACTGCGAAAAGAAGTCCTACTGGAAGTACGGCATCGAAAGGTAAGAAGAAAATACCTGAGGACATTTAGTCCACGGAGCCTCTGTGTGTTAACCGGTGGTAGAACTGTTGTACTGCTTGGAAGGCCTGCTCCACTGCAAGAAGTGCGTGACCCGCAGCCAGCTTCTTCGTGGGTCTGGGTTGTGTGCTGCTCTGCTCTTGCTCAGCAGAGTCCCGTTTCTCAGCGACTCGCTGCCGCTGTGAGAAACATTTTTAGCTTGCTGTATGCAGGCAGGAGTTAAGCTCGGTGACTTTGTCTGGCACTCTTTCCTCTATCATGCTATTCCTGCCACAAAGAGTTCTGCTCTTTTGCTCTCATCACTGTATAAGACAGGTGAAGATACCGTGTCGTGTTTTGAGTTGTAGCCCCAAGAGCAGTTTAGTGGCTGCTAGAGATAGGAAAGTGGTATGCTTTCTCTGTACCTCCTGAAAGTGGAAATACTTCTAGGTAAGCCTTTTCTATGATGAGAAAACTGATCAGATGTGAAGATTATTGTACTTCACATGTTAACTGGAACTAGAGTTTATTTTGTGGGGTAGTTAATAATCTTTGATGACAAGAAAAGAAATGTCATAGGTGTATCGGTGTGGCTACTTTGTAATTTCTTTCAGTTCTTTGTCCATGTCCTGTCTTAAGTGACATCAGAAGGCGTTGATCACTGCTATGTGCGTACATCTTTGTTAAAACCGCATATTTCTTTTCAAGCAAGTAAAACAACATGAAGTTATAACAATAAATATTTTACATTTCTGTACAATCGTGCTAACTTTTGGTCCTTCATTGCTAAAGCGTCTGCAGTTAGTACCAAATCTGCGTCGACAGCCGGACCCCTCCAGCGGTCTCGAAGCGAGATTGACGTGAACGCAGCTGCCAGTGCCAAGTCCAGAGTCTCCTCGTCTGCAGGTGCCGTGCCCTTCAGCTCTGCCGCAGCTCTGCCTCCAGGGTCGTACGCATCCTTAGGTAACCGCCCATCCCGTTGCCCTCCAGTTCTGCCGTGCATATGAGATCTTCTTGTGTTTAAACGGTGTGGCTGATTGAGAAAGTTACAAAAGCTCTTACTGACATTTTCACTGTCACAGGATATTTAAGTGTAAATAACTTTCTATACTTATTGATGATTAATAACCACCTCTGATTTTTGAGTGCCCTCTTTCTCTGGAGCACGCACGTTTCGGTGGAGTGTAAGCGCACTCATACTTGCATCACCTTGGAGCGCTTCCTTCCTTGAGTTTTCCTTCTTCACGGCAAGCCCCGCTCCCTAAGGCCAGAGCTGCCCTTCCCTCCTTGTGGCACTGGGGGGAGCAGGACAATGTCATGGAGAAACCTCTAGATTCCTCAGAGACATTCATTGTAGCAGTGCCTAATGTTCAAGTGAGTGGCGATGGTGGAGTGTGGCTCTACAAGAAGGTGTAAAAGCTGCTGTGCGCATGTGTCACCCTCCATGAATGGATCCAGCCTTAGTCTCATGATTGTCACTCAGATTTTCTACAATCTATATTGAGACCTTCTTAAAAAATTAGTATCTGACATAGTAGTAAGTCAGTTACTCATGATTTACAGCCAACTTAAGCAGCTAATTTATTAAAGCTTTATTTTATTTTATTTTATTTTTGAAAAACATCAAGTGTGCAAACCAAAATAGGGGGAAGTTAGCTAGATCGGGTCAGCAAAGTTTTGAGATGGAATAGCCATTCCTGTCCCTCACACAATCTCGAGATTATTCAAGAGCCATACAGTTTTACAAACAAATGAAATCACCGTTATCTGAATAATGCCCTTTATATGAAACTGTGATAGTTTTATGTTCATTTTCAGTTGCACTTCAGAGCCATTTGTAATAACAAAAGAGTTGCATATTGCTCTTCAGCAGCAATTTTCCAACCCCTAAGCTAGATGAATCTACCTTGAGTTTTAAAGAAATTAGTAAAATTTAAAATTCTAGCTTTGTTACTTTAGGTGGCTTACAGACTAATTCCAAAGTACGTTCTAAAACTAAACTTCTAAAATGGTTTTCCACCTTGAAGACGCAGTCAGAGTGCACTGAGAGAATGTTCGGAGGTCTGTCATTTATAAGCCTTCGATCTGGCCACAGAGTCTTCAACTCTGCTTCTCCTGCCCATAAACTGCTGGTGACAACAGCCTCCTACGTGGATCAGTTCAGTGGATTAAGCCACTTAGATGGATCCATGAAATGCCTTAAAAGTCCTTTGTAAACTGCCGTTATATAAGTCAAAGAAAGTGTGATGATTACATAAATATTAAGTTGAAAGTATATATTGTAAAATACTTGTCAAAACAAAAATTATTCTTGTTTTTCTCTGGGAATATTTCATTCATACATACATTTCGGTTTGGAAGAAACTCAACCAGAATTATTCTTCTGTATTCTTTAACTAATGCAACATATACATAGAAGTGTTTATATTTTACTGACATTGCATTAGACAGAAATAATGACTCTTCTAGGTGAGTCGTTCTATTAATATTTAGTTCCATTTTGAAATACTTAAACCTGTGTTTCAGTACATTAAATGCACTTTTAGTATTTGTAATTTGTATTGGTTCATTGCTCGAAAATTTGAGTGAAAACTACCTTTAGGAGTATCTGAAGTAGTTTTTGTTTTTCTGTGAATATTTGGAATGCTTTCGTGTGACTTTGTAGACTACCCCTCGGTGCTGATATAAGTGCTCAGAGTTTTTGGTCTAGCTGACCCGTTAGAAGCACCGATGATAGAGTTCAACTTAATGTTACCTGTTTAATTACAAAATCAAAGTATGCTCTTACCTTTTCCTGATAATCGTACCTCCATTTGCCTTATCAAAGGAGCCCTGGTGCTACAGGGATTAACTGCTTGATTGTTAACCAAAAAGTCAGCAGTTTGAACCCACCAGCTGCTCTGGGGAAGAAAGGTGTTCGAATCTGCTTCCATAAAAATTTACAGCATTGGAAATTCTCTGGAGTGGTTGTATTCATGGCCATTATGAGTCAGAATCAATTTGACAAGAGGTCCTTATTAAGTTAAAAACACACACATAAATCCTTTGAAATGTGATCTTACTGAGACTTTGTTACGATTACTACTTAGTGTGATATCATTTGCAATAGTACATTCTACATCTGTGTAAAGTGATCCTTTTCCAAATTTCTAGAGTCCAGGCATGTGAGGGAAGACCTGGAGTACATAGGCCTTGACTCAGGTACTGTGCTTGACAGCTTTGCTGCTGGCTATGTAGTTGGGATAGGCACTGCTAGAGCTAGCTTCTCTGGGCTTCTTACCTGGCTCTTCCATACAGGTGACGCCTTTTTTTGGACTCTTTAGTATTTAAATGTGTCATATTTTTTCCCATTTTGATAGAATGTCACACCAAGGAAACGTAACTCTTTAAGAGAATGAGGATTGGCTTAAAAACAAGCAAACAAAAACCACACTTTGAACTGTAGCACTTCTGAGGGTTGTCTTGTACGTTTTGTCTTCTAAAACCTAGATCGCTTTCTACTACGCTAACTTCATTATTAAGTGCACTGATGTGTTTCAGACTCTCTTTGCTGTTGAACTTGCTTTCCTTTTAATTTTGTTTTTAAATTGTACTTTTGCTTTTTTAGTAGCCAATGACATTCCGCTTTTTTTTAATATTACTAATTGTTCCTTGTTATCCCTTCCTTTGTTTTTTTGATTGGCTTAAAGATGGTACTGCCACTAAAGCAGAGGGTAAGCGGTTTATTTCTGTGAATTGAGATGTGTTTCCCTCTCACTGATTCTGTTACCACCCAGTGTTGCCTGGTGCCCAGTGTCCTCAACCAGATCCCTGCACGAGGTGTTGCACGCACTCCCTCTGTTCACCTCATTCCATTTCCCCTGGGATTCCGCCCTGCTCTACTTGAATTCTTTTCTCTCTCTGCTGAGTCATGTTCTTGTGAACCTTGGTGATTAAGTACTCTGGGAACTCAGATTTCATGCTGAGTACAAGTAGGCAGTAACATGGACTTTTTTCCCTTTGGTTTTTCATTACTTCTTGTTTTGTGGCCTCTTGAGACATGCCTTTCCTTTTTTGCCGGGGTGGGGGTGGATAAATTTCAAAGGCTAGTAAAGATTTTTTATAGGTCATTAAATAAATTATTGGAACACTTTTCTCTTCCGTAAAGGTTCTGAATTTTATGACATCATGTTTATCAGTATCACTGGCACACGCCCCATTCATCTTGAATACCTTCTGTATGATATGTTTTGTACTGTACACTGTACGGAAAGCATGGTGGGAGGTCTAGAAACACATCTAGATCTACTTGGTTTTTGGTTTTTCCCTCCATTCCCGAGTATGCATTGTCTTTTTAAAAATTTGACACATAGGTAGTCCATGCTCTGTAGGCTCCCTCCCTGAGTCAGAATCATCTTAATGGCAGTGAATTTGTTTGGGCTTGAGTTCATTTTCTAGAGGGTTTTGATTAGCACATGCCAGACAAGGTCACTCCTTTTTAAAGTGATGGGTAGAAAGCATAATAATGCTGGTTTTTTTAGGTGAGCTGCTTCTCTGCTTAAGATAGGGCTTAGCCTCACCTGTGGATAACGATTTTAATTAGTAACGGTTCATTTTCATATCGTATTTAGCCACTCTAAAAGGTAAGGGTGGATATGGTTTTATCATGATGTGTATAGTGCATAGTTAAGTTAATCTATGTTTGTTAAGATACTCAGAAATAGGGGAAAAGCTCGAGGTTTTGTTTTGTTTTTAAGTTTAGCCCAATCCTAAGAACAAATAGATTTCCTGAATCCCTCACCTCAAGATTCTGCTAAATGTGTTAGGAGCCAAGGAATAGGAATTGTAAACCAGCCCCATCGGTAATGTTTATGGTTGGCAGTTTTGTAAAGCTTAGCCCAAAAGGAAAAGGCAAGAACCCGAGGTGAACAATGAGGACCTCGTTGTCTGAGCAGAAGACCGAAGTCAGATATCGTTATGAAGCCGATGGATGACTTTTTCATTTCTTTCATATAAGTATTTCTATTTCCTCTCCCTTAAGAAATAATCTTAAGAATTTTCTCAGCCTGGTTGGAAGGAAAATGGAAGGATGGAATACAGTTATGTAAAGTGGTCAGGATCGTACCCAGGGGGTGAAGGAAATGACCCAAGGGGGCTACAAAAGCAATTTAAGGGGCTACACTTTATTTTGGATTGTGGACTATAGTACAAAAGTTTTTAGTTGTGCGGGGAGGGAATTATATTTTTTCTTAAAGGTGGGCACTAGGTCAAATAAAGGGTAGGAGCTCGGGCGATTAACGCCCCCCCCCCCCTTCCCACTCCACCCTCCAGCTTCGAGGGATCCCTACCCTTCCTCTGCAGCTACCCCTCCCGCCGCCACTTTCCCTGGAGAAAAGCCTGATGGTAGCAAGGTAAAAATTGGGTGGTTACAGTTGTAGAGGCTGAGGGGAGGGAGAAGACAGGGGAGTTCTGCTTTCGGGTTTAGCCAAGAACAGGTGGGGGGGAGGAGGGCAGGGTAACAATGGGGGAAAATCCCAAAACAAAAAAAATTTTAAAAACAAAACAAAAATAAATAAAGGGTAGGAATAGAGCAATGTAGCTAGAGTGGAAAATGACAGTCCCTGGGAATATAATCCTCGCTCCCTCTTGTATACTCCTGAGCAAGGTCTGAAAGTTATACCCTCAATCTGTGCAATAGACTAAGAGAAAGAGCCAAGCTGTCTCTTACTAGTTTCCTTCTCATAAGAGAAATATGGGAGTGATATTTGGGACCTTAAAGGAGCAAAGGGAGTCTCAAGCTGTGTACACAAAGGCTGTGTAGGCTGTTTCAAATCTAACCAGTCATAGCTGCTTGTTATGAGAAAGGGGAGACATCACTGGTGGATTTGCTAGTTCTAATGCTTCTAGTCTAATTCTAACACTTTTGTGCTTTTTTTAGCAGTGAAGCATAGAAATGATGCTTTAAAAGCTATCTTGAATAATACAAAAAGCCTCAGTCAACAGAATGTAGTACCTGGTCTGTAGTATTTTGTAATCATTATGGATCTTTTAAAATTCCAGAGTAAAGTTTTGACTATTTTACTATGTAGCTGCAAAAACACGAGTTTCTTACTTTCATCCTTATGGGGCATAGATAATGATTTTTGAATCAGTGTTTGGAAGCACTAAAATCTAAATTATCCACGTGAATTCTGAAAACGACTTGACTATGGAAATGAAGAAAAAAAAGTTGTTATACATGTCAAGGGGGCGGGGCTTTCTAATATTTATAATTAGAAAAAACGTTTGCAAAGAACTTTAAAAAAATAGCTGGAAGGAAACAGAGGAATGATCTAGGAAGCAAAGACGACAGGGATAGAGGTGTAAGTATTGGGCCATGTACATATATTTATTTAGGTTGTAGATGGACTTCGGTTCTCTGCTCATGCCCTCCCTCAATGCACAAACACAGCACAATCACTGAAGACAAAATGGGTGCATAAGCAAATGTGAAGAAAGTGGATGATGCCTGGCTATTAAAAGATATATCATCTGGGTTTTAAAGGCTTGAAATTAAGCAAGTGGCCTTCTAGTAGAAAGCAACAAGCCCACATGGAAGAAACACACCTGTGCGATCATGTGTTGTTGCCAGGACTGGGTAACAGGCATCAGAAGACTTAAAACAAAGAGACAAACAACAAACATATGGTTGAGAACAAGGGTGGTCAGAGCAGAGACCCAAAGCCCATCTCTAGCAGTAGCACGCACGTCCCCTCACAGAGGGGTCACAGGGAAGGGATGAGTCAATCGGTGCAGTTAAGCACTGATGAAACACACACACTCCTCTGGTTCCTGGAGGCTTCCTTACCATGACCCCAGTGCTGCCTCTCACTGCGGGCTAGACCGGAGCATGTGCACAAGTACAGATAAGACCTACGAGCTCACGGCACATGGAATCCAGGAACAGGAATGGGAGTAGCAATTCCAGAAGGGTAGAGGGAAGGTAGGGAAAGGAGGGGAGGAAGGGGGAACCGATCTCCATGATCCACACATAACCGCACCCCACTCTCCCCCAAGGGGATGAACAACAGAAACCGTGGGGAAAGGTAGACAGTGGTCGGTGTAAAATATGAAAATAATAATAATTTAGCATTGATCAAGGGGCCATGAAGGGGGGTGGGGGGGGCACGGACACCAAGGGCTCAATAGTAAATAAATGGATAGAAAATAATGATTGTAACATACGTACAAATGTGCTGATGGACAGGAGCTGTGAGCCCTCAATAAAACAAAAGTATAGCTTTGGGACAATATTTCCAGATTATCCTTCAGAAACAGTTTGACTATTTCTAAAACAATAATTTTGTGATTTGGAGGAAGGAAGCACTTGCATTTTTGTTGTTGTTCATGAGAAAATTAGTCATTTAAATGTTGAAGTTATCTGGTAAGTCAGTGTACTCTCATGTACTTTTTTTTTTCTAAGCTAAGAAATAGTAAAAACATATTTTCCCTCAAAATACATAATTTAAAATAAAAACATACAATGCTTAAATGACCTATCGACACCGATACCTCATTAATAATTTCAGAGGCTAGTCATGTTTTTGAGAATTAATTACTTCATAACAACTTAATTAATTATTGGTGGTTTTAATTAAGTCCATATAGTAATAACTATAAAGCCCTATCTGCTCATCAGGATAAAGACCTGAAATTTTAGTTGGTTTTTTTAAATCATTTTATTATTTTATTAGGGGCTCATACAACTCTTATCACAATCCATACACACATCAACTGTGTAAAGCGCATTTGTACATTCATTGCCCT